ATGTCTTGTAGGCAGTAAAGATAGATTTACAGAACCGAATGGGGAAATGGCAAAGAAATGGAAGCGCCTCTCAGCTTATTTCTCTTAATTGGATATTGTGTATAGTTTTTCTATCGGAAGTAAATTTATCTCCCAGCAGAGCCTTGCCATATTTCTATCTGCGAAGCATCAATTTTTCTTAGAGTACCTTTTCTAACTTTCGTGACCTAAGTAAACTTAGACATAAACGCAATTTTTTCCTGTTTAAAATGGAAAGCAAGTAGATAATAAAAACATTTTTCACACAGACATAATAAGAAACCTTTCAACTTCATTTTTAACTGTTTTATGCAATATTATCGTTATTTTTAATAGGTATATATAGCATGAAAATGTTTTAGAAGAAATTTATAATATAATTTACGTATATATGAAATACGGTTAAGCCCATTCTTATATCCTTGTGATCCTGCCGAGTGCTTAAGACCGCTGAAAGTTAGTAATTGACCTAGGTTCGAACCCAGGAAAACAGACTGGTTGCAAGGTTGGTTTCCATACTTTTGTCCATGTGTAACATGAAAATAGAGCTAGTTTCCCTTAGAAACCCCTCCACGAATTTTCACTCCATTTTTTCCAAATTCAGTTAAGAATTATGAGGTTCAGAAATTTTCTAAATGAAGCACATTACAAATTACTTTGCTACTTGCTTGTTTAACTAAAAAAAAAATCGTTTCACTAAGTAAACTTAGAAGTAATGGTGTAAAATAAGTCGATGGCGTAGAATGCTGAAATGATGATCCATAATGAATAGGAACCTGGCAGTCGAAGCATATTAGGTCTTCATTTTTTTTTTTTTTTTATTTCAGCGGCTTCATTTTTTAACATCTTGCGGCCACAAACAATACTTGAGTCTATTTCAAAATGTTTACATTTTTGATAGTTTTGCAATAAGAAGTGAGCTGTAAGCAGTAGTTCAGCTAGGCCGAAGGGTCGAAAACAAGTGCGTTATGTTAAGGATGAAATTTTAATTCAGACTGAGTTAGTTTGGGTTCTTAATTACTTTCATGTTTGGAAATTATTAATTATTCATTTAAATACAAATTTTACGGATTAATTTTTCGAAATTAAAAGAATTCATTCAAACATATGAGGAAGCCAAAACGTGATCATACCCAAATTAATGCAGTTTTTTGCGGGAGGGTTAATTCCCCTTGATAAGTCAACCCTCTTCTAGGAAATCGGAAATGATTTACTTACTTTTTACATATGTACACTTTTACGTATATACTATCCTTTTTCTTTTTTAAATTGTACGTTTTTGATGCATACCATTACAAATTTTAAACTTCTTTTGAGCTTATTACAAGTTCTTAATAGTTTTAACATAGTCCTCTTAAGTATTAACATTTCCTAATTTCAGTTTACAATAATTTTTATACTCCTTTTCCTGTGAGATAATTATAATAGAAAAGTAATAATTATACATATAACTTCATCAATTAAAAGAAATAATTATACATATAACTTCATCAATTAAAAAAAATAAATGCATTATGTTTGGCAATTTAAATCACAATTCTAGGTACTCATTGTTATCTTCACTCAAAATGTATCAGTTTGAAATATACGTTTATATATTATTTCTTAGGGAGCTTCCGCAGTTGAAACCATTGCACGACGCATGATTTTATAGCGTAATAGCTAGAATTGCTATAAAATTGCTACGCGCCCAATAATATGATTTTTTAAAGTTCAGATTTAATTAGTTATAACTGCTTGGTGTCTTGAAAAGAAATTTTTTCCCCAAATAAGAATTAATCCTTAAATTGTCAACTTCAGAAAAATACGAATTTAATTCAACTAATATGAGATGACTGTGATATTGCTCAATCTACTATCTGCTATACTGATTAAAGCCCTGAATACTAGCATATTTCAACTTCCGACTAACAGGATAGTTTTAAGGATATTCTTTAAAGTATTTCAAATGTATATGAGTCAGTCTTTAATAGAAAGCAGGTAATGATGTTTTTTGTCATACTTATTTGCTTAAATTTTTTACACGCGATAACATGGCAGATGTACAAAAGATCACTACCTCGCAATTGTCATCTTTAATTCATTCAGAAAGAATAATACGGAAATTCATTTCTATTAACATGAGTGGAGATGATTTTGTTGCTAATAATATATAATTGTTTTCTATTTAAGAATAGTAGTAGGTAGGAACATTGCAGCAACCTTGCTAAAAAGTTACCGCTTTACATTTTCTTTTTCAATTGTTTTCTATTTATATATATCTCATTATGAATGATATAGTTTTACTGAATAAATTTACGTGAAAGTGGCTATCACCGGCGCAAAGTTACTTTTTCGAACTTGTTTGCATCACTGGCAAATCACTCGAATTCTTAATGTTAAGAATAATCTTGTATATCAACCAGTATGCGTGTGTGTGTGTGTGTGTGTGTGTGTGTGTGTGAGTATGGCAAAGACTTGAGGGCTATCTGCCTAAGAGGAGGGATGCCTTCGTGGAGGAGGGATGCCTTCTAAGGGAAACTGGCTCGTATACACGTTACACATGGGGAAAACCACGAAAACGCCCATGCAGCCAGCCCGTTCGCGGGATTCGAACCTCGGACCGAACTACCAGTGTTCAGCGACTTTACCGCTCGGCCGCTGGTGGGCCCTCAACCAGTATGCGATGTCGAAAGAATCTAAAAAATAAAAAAAGACAAAAAAAAAATCTTAAAGGTTTTAAATTTTAAATTGCGTGTAAAAAGGCGCTTTTTTTTTTTTTTTTTTTTTTTTTTTTTTTTTTTTTTTTTTTTTTCCCGGTCTTGTGTGTTACCTTTATTTATTAAATATCACGTTCTACGTACTCAAACTATAAAATTCAGTTCAACAGCAATATCGAAAATTAATTTTAAAATGAGTATATCTTTAGAGTTCCGATACAGAGTCTTGCGCGCTGTAGGTAATTTTTTTTTTTTTTTTTTTTTTTTTTCTTTTTCTGTTGTGTGTTGCCATTGCTCGCTTTGAAATCGTTTAGTTTTTTAATCGAAAATTCGTTGAAGTGTTACAAAATATGAAATCAATAATAATATAAATTTCAAATTCAAATTAGGGCTTCCACATGCCCATATTCTATGGAAGATTACGTTATTCAAATTCTGATGGCTCTAGGTACCGTTGTTTTATCACAATGCGAGAAATATACATACATTTATGCAGATTCTTCATTATTTAATTTCTTTAAATATAAGACAGGGCTATAATATACGGTGGCAACAATTTGAAAAGTGATACAGCCTTTTAAAGTTTTCGACGCAAAATGCCAAAACGAAATTAATAGACCTTCAAGGCAAATTGCCCCTTTGGACTAAAAATTCTCAGTAATTTAGTTGCGGAATATAAAAAAACCAATCATTCTTAAAAAAATACACAAGATATAATCAGAACACAAAAACCGAAGGAATAAAAACGGCTTATCAATTTGCTGAAAGCTTTCTCATGGACTAGCAAACGACATGTCACGTATTCTAAAGAAGCAATGCAGATGCGTGCAAAATTTTTTTCATTCATCTTTTCAGCGTAATATCCCGCTGTAGGAAAACAGTGGTTTCTTTCTTTTGGCAAAATGAAGATTTCCCTGAGGGTAGTTACGCGACAGTGAATAGCATTGTCATCGAACTCTTGAAGTTCACTCGTGCCAGCTAAAACCTCAGCAGAATTTTACCCTGGAGCTGAGAAAGGAACAACTCTTTTTCCAAGATTCTGAAATACTCTGAAATTCCTAAATTAGTTGAGCTAACATCTAATAAATCATTTAATATATATTTGGAAAAGAATTTCTTCTCTGTATCGATATTAGAAGCTGATATAGATATCATTTTATCTTAATAAATTATTATTCATAACTGATTCTAATTTATTCACAACAGAAAGGTCTTAGTGTTTTCATTTCTGCCATATATTATATGTAAGAAGTGTTTTCAAATAAAAACTTTACCAGACAGGATGCATGAGAATACCTGAACTGTGATCCTTTATAAAAGTGAATTTTAACCATATGCTATTACCAAATTTCCTGCGTTACTTATTATTAATGCTCAAGATACCCTTTCCTAAACCCCCAGTTATCGATGAAGATTTTGAAATATTACTTAACAGATTTCTCTCAAATTGAGTTTTTATTTAATTCAAATACTATAATTAAATAATCTTTATGTATATGACAATAAAAGATATTGTTATATTTAACATAAGATTAGACAATTCTATACAAAATATTATTTTCAATGAAAAAATAACTGAGTAAAATCAGTCAAGAAGTACCAGAACAGAAGTCGTCAAAACAAAAGAAATAATTTTCAAAACTTTTATTTTTAAACAAACACGATTTTTTTTTTAAATAATCATTGAGCTTACTAATGTTTGGTGTCCTACGAAAACGTTGTGTGTTGCCTCGTGTGTAACGTGTATACGAGCCAGTTTCCGTTAGAAAGTCCTCCACGGAGGTATCCCTCCTCTTAGGCAAATAGCCCTCTAGGGTTTGCCATAATCACATAAACCAAGCCAAATCTGTCGAAACGGCTCTCATTTTTTAAGTAGTAGTTAGCTTTGATAGTTAAAATGTTCATGCAATTTTAACGTCTCTGATCTCTACCATTAAACAGTGAAGAATAAGTTTCTATGCTTGTATGTATGTCTGTGTGTTCTTCTAATTGCAGAAAAACGACGACATTTAGAGCTACCAATTTTGAACACACGTAGTCCTCCAAACGATTGTGTGCATCTGGAAGCCATGCTTTCGAATTTCGTGCTTGCTTTTGATTTATTTCAATGTCTTTCAGTTTTAATGTATGTTTGTATGTTCCTCGGTTCTTCATTGCGGTAAAACGGCTACACCTCGAGCGACCAAATTTTGAATACACGTGCTTCTCCACCCGAGCATGTGCAGCTTGAAGATAAAATTTTGAATTTAAAATTTATTTTTGATTTACTTCATATTTTCCCGAATTTAATGAATGTTTTATTAATAAGCTCAGTGGTTTGAAAGTGAGAAGTGACAACGCTGTTCGAAATAAAACATTTGTGTCTTCAACGCGAGAGAATGCTGCCATACGGGAAAATGTAAGATAATTTTCTTTTAATTTTACTCAACAAACTCCGCTGTTTTGAAGCAATGTGTTGCTACTGCCTAAAATACTTTTATCTTCCACGCACCAGTGTGTTTTCATTCAGTAAACGTTAAGATATCCAGTAGTTGAAAAGTTGGCAGAAGAAAGGTTGAAAAGTTGCCTAAGAGATTAGTAGAAGACATAAGAAAGTATGAATACTATAGTAAAAATTAAATGCATACAACAGTTTTTCCCGTCTATCTCAACGCTGCATTACTTTTCTGATACTATTAATCGATATTAATTTCACGTAGCTTCAAAATTGGGGAAAATAAAAAATATTTAAAACTATTTAAATATTACTTTAAAACGAGATTTAAATTTTGATTTTCTAGTGCAGTTTTAAAGAGAGGTTAAAATTTTTATTCTCATCTTCTGGCGGTGTTTGTTACTTAAAACGTTTTATTACCTAATACCCAAGGGGGCATTTCTAACGTAAAATTATTCCGTTACTTCAGTAACTCCGCACTTGCCACGCAAAGCAATGATTTCGATTTCGATATTGCAAGGGGGAAAAAATAAGAGGCTTAAATAGCTAAAGAAAATAATGAAGCAGGAGACGTGAAATATGTGCAATGCTCTCGCCGGGACTCGGACCTGCACCTTTCGAACACGTGCCGAACGTGCTATAGCTACACCAGGAAGGTACGCTGGAAGGAGGAAGAAAATACCTCACAAATAAGCAAAATTTCTAGCTGAAAAGTAACAGAAGAAAAGTTATTATTTCTTGATTTAAACAGTTTCCTAACTGCATTATAATTTTTAGAGCATTCATTGATATTTGTAATATTTTCAACACTTTTCCCCACTGTTTTTAAAAAATTTCTGTTTTCTTTATATGTTCATATCGATACTCAGTTTTAGACTTAGCATAAATATTCCTAGTATTTCCGGAAGCTTAAATGTGCAATATAGCTAATCCATCTTGAATTCTGATAGAAATAAATGCTAAATGAAATTAAGATAGCAAACTATGTGGGCGGATTATAATTAGAATTTAGTTTTACCTATATCGCCAAAGAAATTTTGAAATTTTTTTTTGAAATACGTTCTTACTCAAGTGCAATGAAATGAGTTTAGCGTAGTGTAATTGGTGAACATTTAAAACGTAGACATCTTCATTCTTAGGAGCAAACAGCGTCTCAACAGATTGCATAACTTTCTGTATGTAACTATAATGTATGGATTTAGTTGTCTTATATCATCACTTCATTCATTCATAAATCGTTTTATCGATAACTGATATGCTTGCACCAAAGTGCAACGCACGAACAACTTCGCAACGGCTTAAAACTGATAAGTAAAAGCAGCTCCGCCAGTTTGATCATAACAAGGTTTAGAGCGACATTCTGTTTTAAAAGTTTAAAACACTAACGCAAAACTCCTTATCTAAATATAAAACAATATTTTATAATTATTGTGTACGCTTATGTGGAAATGAAGAGGAATTCGTTTTTAATAATTTCATAATAAATTTTAGTAATTTCACCCTAGCAAAATGAACTCTTTAAATTATTACTTCCATTATAAGAATCATAATTTCTCTGTCCTTTAACTCGCCTGTTCAAAGAACATTTTAAAATATGCTACAAGAAGAGATATTTTATATCTCAAATTTCTCTCTGGTACACTGAATCTCAAAAAACATATATATATATATGCATATATGCGTGTGTGTTTGTGTAATATAATTTTATTATAAGAAATGCTGATGAGTATTGGAGATTTTATTTCTCCAGCAGCAGTCAGTACTGATAGTTAAAACAGTGTTTTATTTTAGACATAACATGATTGAAACAGTCTTTTACAGTTGAAAACTGATGCAAGTAACGGGTGTGCCCTTTATGTTAAAATTTTAGGACTTGCAAATTACAAGTTTTCTGAAGAAAGCAAGCGTTAAAAAAAATTTTGTGTTACTTTAAATGTACTAAAAGGCAACGAATTTGTTTTACTTCTCGATAGAGTGAAGTAGTATTGCTTTATAACAACTGCCTACTAAAAATTTTGGTATGAAATTTCAGTTTTGCTTTTATTGTTTTGCCAATACGTGCATCATTTGCATTATATAAGGAACATATAATAGCCGAAATCACGCATTTCAAAAGGAATTCATTATAAATACTCTTATATTTTTAGGACAAGAAATAAAATATAAAGAGGTTTAAAAATGAGAGTTTAAGGAGTATTTGAAAAGAAAGTTAAAATTTTATGATATGTGCAAACACACACATACACAAATATAATTTCTAGAACTTTAAACACATTTAAAATATCTTAAGGAAGCGTCTGGCTGACAATGAAGAAGTTAAGAAATTAAGGATGAAAGTCTTCATTCAATAACTCAGCTGACATACATCCTGTATCCCATAAATGGGAAAGTTCTGCATTCGAATTTTGATCGAAGCACAAGCTTTATAAGTTGTTAATAATTTTATCAAATAAATCTTAAAAATATTCTGCAACACAGATGACACTTTTTTTTGGGGGGGGGTAAGCACCAGATGTAAATTTTCACTTTCATACTGATTTATCAGTCTCGGATATACAAATTAATTGAGAAATACGTTAAAGAATTTTTTTCGATCACACTTAAGAATCACCACAGAAATCGATCACACTTAAGAATTTCTCATATGTTTGGAAGCTGCATTACGGCAGATATTAGTTAATTTAACAAATGATTAAAAAAATTACAATTATTAAACGAAACTTGGAATGACTCAATGAAAAAAGTTATCCTTAAAACGTGACTTAAACCATCATAATGAATAACATCGCGTGCTTAGGATCATGATGCGCACGCTTTTGTAAATATATTCAGTTCTCTATGTATGATAATATTTCAGCGACAGCTGTATAACCAATCTTGCATTTTCTCATAATACGTAACAGTTTCTTATAATTTCTCATTCTCCTTCCACAATTTATTCTGAATCTTGTATCTTTAAAATGAGAAAAATAAATTTCATTGTATTATTAAATGCATATCCGTTCCCCACACACATTTTCAAACTCCAGTTCAGTTCTCCTTTATTACCAAAATAAAGAAGTTATTGCCTGCGTAACAACAGTCAAATACTTATTTGAAAGAGTTAATAAAAATAAAATGAAATCGTTATTTAACTGTTCTATATTATCAGCACAGCCTAAAAGTTATTGAACACATTCCTTTTATAACTATGTTTAGAGCTTTCTAAAAATCAGTACATTAGATGTTATTTCAAAATTTGGAAGAATATTGCTAAAAAATTGCAGATTCATAATCCGAGAATATGGTTAATAATAGCTGATAGGTAAAAGCACAGATATAATTTTATTTTTAAAATAGAGGCTGTTCGCACACTTTTTAGACGATTTTGCTTTGCTATAAAAATAACATCTGCTTGGAATTTTTTAATTGCAGCTATATTTTTAAAAGTATAAATTATCGTCTGCTACTTGACAGTTTTGATTTCATGCGGAATAGCGCTTTTAAAGAAACAGTGGATAGAAAGCTATGTTTGTGATATTTCCGAAGAAAATTATTCGTATCTAGTTATTAAAAAAAATCTGATGTGTACACCACATGACTTCCTTGTACGGAATATTAAATTATACGCATTTTTTCTTGCATTTCATTTAAACTTATTGGATTGAATTAAATCTACTTCGCCGACAGCGCATAAACCACAATAGAATAAATGCGTTCTTTAAAATTCACTCTAGTATTTGTTTACCATAGCGACATTCTGGCGCTAGATTCACTTAACTGTATTATATTTCGTTCATATTATAACTCATAATGCACAAAATTTATATCATTTAAAGAATAGAATTATCTAATCGTTGCCACATGTTCTATTCAAATACTATAATAAAGCTAGAATGATGTATAAAAGAAATTAAGCAAACAAAACAAAAAAGAAACAGTTTTTTACAGACGATTGAGTATTTCTCATTCAATTAATTCAGTTCTCACTTCGCAAAAAGGCAAAAATGCATAAAAACTCAAAATATCTATATTAAAAATCACGAAGTAAATCTTAAACACTTATTTCCTCGAAAAAATTCCCGAAAGTATTAAGCATGATTTAATTGGCAATAATAAATGAAGGCGTTATCTTTGTTGTTGCGAAGCTAAGTTTCTCTAGATTGGTAACAAATCCACTAGTCTGCTGCTTCAAATGTAAACAATCAATGGCCGCCATAAAAAAAAGGCTTAGCGGCACTTAAACAACTTTAAAATTGTTGATAATTCTAAAAATATTGCATACAGATTTACTAAAGACATAAAAACCTTAACCGGAAGATAAAAACAACATAATTCAATCACTTTTAAAGCAAAAAATGTACAATTTACAAATATATAAGAGTAAAGAAACTGAGATCATTGAGCCGGGTAACAGAGTGGATATATATATATAAATATATTTATATACGTTTGGTGCGGCCGACTGCAACCAAAATACGAGGTGCACATCTGCATGTTATAGCAGTCCTATATACAAAATTTTAACGTTCTGAGGCTACTCGTTTTTGAGTTATGCGAGATACGTACGTACGTACATACATTCGTACAGAAAATTCTCTTCAGAATTAATTTTAAAACAGTTTTATAATTTTTGGAGCAAACGAGTCTTTTATTCTGTCCTTACGTAAAGATATCACGCAAAAACATCGTTAAATTGCATTCGATAGCGGTCAAAATGGATATTTTCGTTGAAATATGCTGCCTGAAACTTTTCGCGATTACAATCCTTCCTTTCTACTTCGTACAAGGAAGTAAAAATGTGAAAGCCATGGTTATCCGATATCTAAAGCTACGGTAGATAATGCAGTCAACAAGAAAGGAAATAAACGTCAAAGTCTGGCTTCAAATGGAAAAATTGTCCCAAATACGTATCCCAGGAAAAACAGAATGCTTTGAATGGTGCAAAGGTAAGATCTTAACATAAAAGGCTTTACTGTCGTGGAAATTACAGTGTAGAAAGGTAGTGAAGAAAAAGGGTTATCAAACAGAACATTTCCCCTCCCCAATGGCGGGAACTAGCCGTTATAAGTATTGGCCATTACTAAGGCCAGAAGCAGTGGTCATTTTGTTATGAAGGCATCTAATAGATGGCCCACCGTTGCCTCCTAATGAAGGGACAGAAAATTTACATCTATGCCTTCTCCGGAATTCGAACCCGGGTCCTTCGGTGCGGCAATCAGAGTCATTAGCCACTTTCCAGTCTAGGCGCCATCAAACAGAACATTTAAAACACAACAAAAATTCGAGTAAACATAACAAACATAACAAACATAACATAAAAACATAACAAAAATTCGAGTAAACTATTTCTGTAAATACAATGAAAATCGTTAAAAACGGTGTGAACTATCCCTGTAGTTGATTTTGACTGGCAAAAGCAAAATAAATTCTTTTCAAATTATATTTTTAGTTACTATATTAGAATACACATTGTTAAAAATATGCTAGGCTTTTTCTTAATCAAAGAGGTATGCAATAACGAAAAATTTTCTTAACTCATGAAATAATTTTAAAATCAGTTTTATTTCTTCAGCGTGTAAGTTATTCAAGTTTTAATAAGTAATTTGCAAATATTTTAAAATGTTTATTTAGGGAATATTTTGCTTTTTTAGAATCACAGATAACATTGCTTAAGACCTATAATGTTATAAACACTGAAATGCGAATTTCGTACATTGGAAAATAATAGGTGTAAGACTTGAATGCCCCTACGATCCTTATCTAGTTTAAATATGTTATCGTTTTTAAATCAAAATTAGAATTTACCACATATCAGAATGTTCAATTTAAATACTTTATAGAAATGTTTCTATATTCGTGGAAGAATGAAAGAGGTAAATTTCATTTCATTTCACAAAACTCTATCACTGTTTTATAAATTTCGGCGTAATATAAAAACAAGATTTATGTCAGAATTGCAGATAAATTATTTTAGTGCGTTGTTTGAAATGGTTTTTATTATAAAGCTAAATTTAGAATTTTATAGAATGAATAATCATAAGAGCTTCATGAATACGAAAATGTCTACAACTTTCTGATTAAGAACGTATGTGACAAAAAGTCAGAAAATGTTCTTTCCTTAATGTTTTATCGTTACTGTTACTTTCTTTTCAGACACGCGTTGTGACTTCCTCAAATCGGATAAGTCTTTCGTAACATGTCAAAGCAAGTCTTTCGTAACATGTCAAAGCTTTGTACAGTTAAGTTCCCATGTATTGTTGTGGAGCACATAAGATAATGACTCTACTAATACATGCAAGCTACTGTTTTCTAATCGAGGTTATTACGCTTGACGTTTACAAAAAAAAAAAAAATAAATAAAAAAAAAAAGATATAATAGCGTCATATAACCGTGTCCATAAAAATACTTATGCAGGCTTTATTTTTTGAAACTGTTGGTCGTGGACGTATACTTCCAGTTATAAAAATGCTTTATATAAGGAAAATCATACAATGTTTATAATGTTTTGTTATTTTTAAAATGAAAAAACGAACTTTGTAAAAATTAGGAAATCTAACTTTCATACAGCTCACAATCCCTACTGTCATATTTTTAGAAGTTTATATGGATTCTAAAATTAAAACACAAAAAGTTTGACCCCTTATATGATCAAATAAAAATCGAAAAAAATTAGAAAAGCAAAGAATTTCAACTGTTAATTTTTCTCAAAAAATTATGTAAGAATCTACATATTTGAATATACGTAAAAGTAAAAGAGGCCGACTAATATTCTATTAATAATAAAAAAATATTAAATGTGGAGTTTTTGATCGCCGATAGCGAATTTTCTGACAAACTTTGGCATAATTTTAAAATTTCGTAATATCTTCAAAACAGCTTTGCATTGCCAAATATAGTTAGATTTGTATGTTTTCAATTTCCTACTCAAATCGTAAACACTATATTTTTTTTTAACATAACATGTCTCTAAATGAGCAAAACTATTTGCATTTTTGATATCAACGCAACCACCTTGGTACAATTTGACAATTTTTTATAGATGAAAAGGTAAAAGTAACTTATCGGGTGCAAGCTGATGACTTTCGTCACTTTTTTTTTTTTTTATTTTTCAAACTATCGATATTTATCTTTAATCGGCGAACATTATCAACATATGAAATGAACAGCAATTTTAAATACACATTTTTATCAAATCAGGATTGCGCGATACATTAAGAAATGATACACTTAACATTTTTTAACAAATCCTTCTGTAACTTGTTTGAGCTATTCTTCTCTCTAAGTACACAGCGATCCATTTTCGCTTAAAAAAAATCAGAGAACTGCAGAAATCTGCATCGCACAAACTTGAGCAGCACCTGCTATCAACCAAACGCATCTCCTCGTTGCGGCAAAATTATATATTCTTGTTGAAATTTTAAGCAACTGTTTCCATTGCTAGATAATTCCACAAATGTATCTTTTAAAATTAAGTTGAAGGCAAAAAATATCACGATTTGTTTTATAAAAACCGTTGGAATACAACAAAAAGAAGGTATACGAAACCAAAAATCTGATGACCGAAAAAAAAAAAAAAACACTTCTAAAGAAATGCAGAATTTTATAAGGTAAACTAACTCTTATCCACAATACTATGAGGAAAACTTCCATACAACTAGCGCCCACCAGCAGCGGAGCCATAAAGTATCTAAACACTGGTAGATCGGTTCGAATTCGAATCTCAACGAATTGGCTGGCAACATGGGTGTTTGCGAAGTTTTCTTTTTTTCATGTATAACGTGGATAGAAGACAGTTTTCTTTAAAATGAATTCCACGAACTCATTCCTCTCCATGGGCAGATAGCCCTCGAGTTCCCTTGCCTTAATCATTTAATCTACCCTAACCCATCCAGCACCCGGAACTTTCACCCACATCGAACTACTTCTGCGCAGCAGTTTTATCGTTAGGCCGCTTGTGAAGTTGTATTGCTGAAACTTGTAATTCGATTCAATTTGATTATTGTAGCTGGTGTTCAACAGATTACAGTTTTAATCCTTTTTTATTACTAAGCTGTATATTTTTAGAGTATTTATTATCATGTAAAGTATGCATTATTTGTGTAGAATGCATCCAAGAATCTTTCTACAGTAAGATAGATACACGACTCAGTAAGATATGAGAATTTCTTGTATTTTAAACGATTTTTTCAAATTAAATCTGCATCAGTTTTTGTTATTCTTTCAAGTTATTGTAACAGCCTATCAACGTAACCTACATTTATATCCCTCTTCGTTTAACATTTTATATTTTTATTGCGCGAATCGATGACCTTGGCAACTTTCCTCCAAATTTTCGAAACTGTATTTTGAAAATATTAGAAGTCGCCAAAGAGCATAGTATTGACAAATTACGTTGTTTTTTTCATTTTTGATTGTTTATATATAAGGAGCTAAATTTTAATCTATCATGTGTTTCTAGATAAGCAGATTCATGTACATTGTCATTTTCTTTTTCAGAAAAATTTTGCGTTCAGGGTTAGAAGACGTTCCTTATGAGATCAATGGTATTCGAGATCTACAACTAAAGGAAATGGTAAGGTATATGATTAACGCAAACAATAACATATGCTTAAAGATTTTAATTTTCGTCGTGATACAAATGCGTTATTATTCTGGCGAGGAAGCTTTGAACGTATTTCTTAAATTTTCCTATTTTCTTTTACTTTCACATAATATTTCAAAAACAAAAGACAGTTTCATTTGATTAAAAATAAATCAGGAAGTTCTTATGATATCTGCCGAATAAGTTATATTATAGATTTTAGTGGTCTACCGTCATATTTTTATCCGAATTCCTGTTCAAATATAATTTATTCAGCAACTTACGAGAGAAATGATTTATACTCATATGTTTTGCAGATGATGGTGGAGGAGGTGAGTAAAGACAAGCGATTTACCTGAAGAGAAGTAATTAATTTACATAACCATTATCATAATTAGAATAGTTTATGTGGATCGCATTTCTAAAATATACGATCCTACACCTCAGAGGAAAAACTCCAGAATGAATCTCAATTTATTCAAATTATGAAAATAAACGTTCGCTGTTTTAAGGGCTTCTTTCCTTCATTACGATTCCAGACAAATACTCTAAGCGGAATGAAGTTGCTGATTTCTAACCTAGTTTTAAATAAATGACGGAAAACAAAGGCTTCGTAAATGCGATCTCCAGAGAATATAGCTCTGTTTTCCAAAAGCTTTTCACTCTGAGCTTTTTTACTTAGTGAGAGCAATTTAAATAATACCTTGGTCACTTGCCATTAATATTCAAACCATACCTCCAGAGTCAGATGTTTTGCGATGCTTTTATTAGTTAGTTGTTCAAACTATTAAGCTTCCTGTAACGAATTAACTATGAAAACAAAGCAGGGCAAGAAGCTAGGCATTTAGTCGCCTGGTGCAATATCTGCGAGAACTAAATTTTGCTATCAACCGCTTCCTATTTTCTAGAACTTTTGCTGCCCTGCATTTCAGTACCTAATCTAAATTTTAAAAATTTTATCATCCCTAATATTTGTTACTCGGTATTTCTCTAAATTCTATTCCCCCCCCTGTCCTAAATTCTGCCATTCTCTTATTCTCAGGCCAGTCAAGACCTCACAAAGTAATCTGGAGAAAACTGAAGACGACCCGTGGCTTATTTTTATTGCATTCTTTATTACACCACAAACTAATTTGTAACGTTTCTTTTCGTAAAGTTTTCGCAAATATTATTTTAAAAAAAGATTTTTGCACCATTTAATTGAATTCTTTTAAAATCTCACATTTAATAAATAAAAGCAAACAGAAGTTTTCCCATATTTTAAAGTTCTGCTATGCATTAAAATACCCTGAGCATGATGAAGTAACTTGTATCATACATCCAAAAGCACGAGTATGGATATTTAGGATAGATTTCTACATTATAATAACACAGCAATTTTATTTTTATTAAAATAAATGTTCTGATTCATGATTATAAACCCCAAATACATAATTGTTCATTCAACTGAGCCTAAAATCATATTAAACCTACATAGATCAATGAGCGAAAAAACACCATGTGGTTAGGTCCATTAATCATATAGTGACCAGACTGAAGCACACCAGTAACCATGATAATTTCGTAATCGACAATTGTAGGATTATTGGTGACAAACACAATAGTTGTCTTAAAGGCACATACTGCTACTATATATGTATTTACAGATTGGCGACATTTGTGGAACAGCGACGTAAGCTATCGAACAGCTATCAAAACGGAATGAGTAGTTTATAAATGCCAAATGAAAACATCAGCGCACCGAATGGAATTTGCAGTACAATTGAAGGAACAACGTCTCCTACGCGTCAGTGCGACGCAGTGTAAATTTATATATATGGAATTTTGTAAACGACACCTTACATTCGCTATTCATCAAGGATCGGCTGACAAATATAGCTGACATCTTACATTCACTATTCATCAAAGATCAGCTGACAAAAAGCTACATGTAGTCAAAAGAATATACCAATTAGACAATTGGAAGATCGTTAAATTTTGTTAATCAATTAACTTAAGCAATTCAAGACTCTAGTTTTTAAAATCTTTTAAGTTTAGATTATTTAATAAATTAAATTATTTGATAATTTTGCAGTAATTTAATATACTTAAATCAAAAATTACATTTACTTTAATTACTTCAATGATATACTTACTATGCAAATTGGCTAGCAAGAATTTAAAAGCATATCATTTCGACACTAGATTTAACGCACAATATTTCATAATTTTGCAAAATTCCGCGTCAACTTGTGTGAATCTGCCATTGTTACGATTCCCCTCTCTGAAACAAAATCCTGTATATGCTCACTTTAATATGCACACTCCTAGTTCGCGATAATTCACTCACAAATTATCTTTTACTTCTTTTACTTTAGATTTGTGAATTTGCTGTAAAATACTTTGGTACAAAATATAAAGACACCACTACCTATTTCCAATGATAATATCCTTTTCGCCATGTATCACTTCAAATACAATGATAAGAGACTGTGAATCAATCCAATCTGAAATAAGATCTTTTGCTGACAATAAAAGGTTTCAGTCTCTGAAACTCAAACTAATTTTCAATAGTAATAATCGCTAAGATTATTCAAAAGACTTTCGTTTCACTAATTACTTAGATTCTAAATACAAACTGCTGAGAATCAGAGGCAAACTGAACCAGCATTCTTAGCACTTTAACTGTTTACATATTCGGAAATAGAACATACAACAAATTACGAGAAACTAACTAAGTTACATACTGTGGGCATTATGCAGAAAGTAAAATTTTAACGCTAAAAATATTATTATGAAATAGAGGTATGGGAAAATTACTTTCATAAACAACGGTAAATTCTCTAAAACTGAGATTTAGTCTCGCAAATGACAGGCTATTATGTCTTAAATACATTACACAATCAAATATCGCGCAACTTAATTACTTTAAATGATCTAATGGTTCCCGTAGCTACCTAAATAATGCATGAAGAGCTTGTTGCAAAGATGCTAATGCATAATGACGACAAAATATTGAAGAACTTAATACTGTTGTATGCGCTCGTAATAGACTGAATGTACGCAGAATCGATGATAGCTTAATAACATTTATTTTACCAAAGAAACACTTCACAGTTCTGGGCTTTCCGTAAAATTTCTCGTACAGCTCTTCACAGTATCACAGAGTTCAATCAGTAGTTACACTTCAAACTATTAAGAATGTTAAACACTATGCAATGCAAGGCTCAAACGGAGATATCTCAATACTCCGAATTCACACTGAGCTAAACAACCTCTCAGAAACTGATATTCTCCCCGGTCTGTCATAGTTTTTTCCCGGCTCTCTAAGTAGCTGCTCTCTAAGTTTGACTTGGGGAGTCTTGAATTTAAATTGGTAATGAGCAAAAAGAAATAATTTTAATCATTAAATTCATTATCTAATAGCTTCATGAATTTTTCACATAAAGGTACAGATTTTTTTTCTTTTCGATTAATAAGATCATAACAATTATTTCATCGATAAATTTTTGCTCTTAAGACCTTTTCTATAAAGTACATACCTCTCTACTTCTCCCTTCCGAAACTCCAAAATTTTCTACTTTTGGTTTGGTTCATTCATTTGATTATGGCAAAGCAACTGAGGACTATCTGCCTAAGGAAAGGGATGTCTTCGCAGAGGACTTTCTAATAGAACTGGCTTGTATACAGGTTACAAATGGGGAAAACCACAAAAACGCCCACAAATTGCAAAATGAGCCTGAACTAACATCTACATACAAATAAATGCATTATGCAAAAGGTTCCCATTTTTCACATATTTTTAAGCCCTCAAATACACATCTTTAAAGAGTCTTATCTAATCATACACTAATAATGAAAATTTATATTTATGCAAAGACTAATTTATGAAATGGGAAAAAAAAGTCATTTACAACACTTTCAATAGTAAACATAAAAAGAACAATTGCAAAGAAATTATCAGATGTAAATTAAGTACCAAGAACCTTTCTAAAGAAACAGAAGACTTTTTGAAAATAATTGATATCACTAAGAGTGATATAACATAAAAACAGGCACTAACGAAAGACACCCAATATATGCATTTGATTTATTACATAAGCTTTTTTCAGATAATGTTTATATACAATTTTTTTTTTTTTTTTTTCAATCAGCCACATATTTTATGTTTCACATACATAAAAAGTAGGTAACAAGTTGACCAAATTTAAAGTAAAAATAAATTAATTAAAAATGTCTTAAATACAGAAGTTACATAAATAATACAGAAAAAAACTTCATTCGTGAAAGGTGATCAGTATGTGTTGTAAAAATAGAACATGCAAATATTCATGGTACAAAGCTTTTAATCAAGAAGCAAAAGATAATTTTAAATCTGTAGAAACAATGATGGTTCATTTCTAGAAACTTATAATTAATAAGTTATTAACATTTATTTTGTCCAGGGGAGGAAAAAAAGAAATAGGTGATATTGCTAAATATTACCTCAAGACGGTGTTTTTTCCTAATTCCTCTTAGTGTACAAAATATATGGGAATTATTAATATATAAAATCTTAATATATAAAGTCTTTAATACGGAAGTCCATAATCCGGAATGATCTATAATCCGGATCTCAAAGATACAAACTTTCTGCGCATGCGCATAATACATTTACGCATGCGCGTTTAATGTTCAACAGACAGTATAAGCTAGGCTAAAATTATCTAATTATCTATTTCATTTAATGTTGCAGATTGCGTTGTTCCTTAATCTTCTAATTGGATCCGGCTTATTATTTTTTGAAGACTGTTAGAGCAATTTTATAAAAAGTAAGCTTGAACTTTCGATTATGTCAAAAAAAGTTTCTGATTCTGGAGCTGCCAAAAGATCTACAAAGCGAAATCATGGTTCGATGTCCATCAAACAAAAAGTGGAATTGCTGCAAAAAATGGATAAGAGACATATCCTTTGTTTCTCTAACCATTCCGAAATCTGTTTATCAATTTCACGCTGCTCTGCGAGGAGGGAAACATCGCGGCGCGCAATGAACTGGAAGTTGATCTGTCAGCACTATCCTCATCTTCAGGGCAGATGTTTTTTTTATTCAGCTTATAATTCCTTTATTTCATCTCGATGTACTCCGTCTTTGATATGATTTAAATCAAATTCCTCGTCATTATAAATATCACGAATACACATCAAATAGTTTTCTGGTTGCAATTTTCTAATTTCAACTATGCGTAATGTATGCTTTACGCATGCGCGCGTTGAAAGAAATGTTTAATAAAGTAAACAAATAAATATTAAGCCTTTTTTTTTTTTTTTTTTTTTTTTTTTTTTTTTTTTGTAAATTTTGATACCCTTTAGATCGGCCCCCTAGATTAAGATTTAACGGTGAAATTTTGAAAATCAATCAAGAATTTAAATATTTAGGTGTTTATTTGGATTCAAAACTCAATTTTAATTATCATCTTAATTATATTCAAAAACGAACTGATTTAATTTTAAATTTTTACAAAAGAAATTACCCATCCAATATCTTGAATAAAAGAAACGATATTTTAAGACTTCTTTTATAATAATGTTTTTATACCCATTGTTATGTATGGAATTACGGCTTGGGGTCGCAGGGCAGGGGAGTTACTACACTTACGTACGAAACTCAATTCCATTCAGCGGAGCTGGCTTGTCGCGCTCACCCGTTTCCACACAGTCTCGAGTGAGGTGCTTTGCGTCCTGGAGGGCACTCCGCCTCTCTCGATAATCTACAAGCTTTATTATGATAAAACTATATTAAGAAACAATATTTCGGACTTATTTAACTATGATGAAATCCCAGTTTTTGCTGACTCATTTTCTGTCTTTAATTAACATGTGATCCATCCCGCAAACCGTATTTCTATCAATTATAATATTTATGATCCTTGTTTAAACGGAATACCAAATTTTTTTACTAATGGATCGGGTTATGAGGGGTGGGTTCGGCTTTTTTTGTATATTATTTTGATACTAGATCTATCACTATAAATTGAGCCTTGAAAAATATAATTCTGTTTATCAAGCCGAGCTCATCGCCGTCCTCTATGCCCTTAAATGGATATTGTAAAGTAATTTTGCAAGAAATTCTAACTTCTATATTTTTACAGATTGCATGTCTTGTTTAAATGCACTTTATAATGCAGAAAATAATAATGGTCTGATTATCGATATTAAAGAGCTTTTCCAAAAACTATCCTTATCCTTTAATATTAAGTTTGGTTGGGTTAAAGCCCATATCGGAATATACGGTAATGAGAGAGCAGATGTGCTCGCAAAAGAGGCTGCCATAGGGAGTGTTTCGGGGACGCCTTACGTTCAGGGTTAAAAAAAAATAGCAACTAAAGTTATTTATTTGTTTTATTTTAAGCAATGACAGTTACAATGGAATTCTTCTGAAAGGAAAAGTCGCTATTTGAAACATTTAGAACTGATTAGGAAAAAAAAAAAATTATCTTTAATGATTTTGAAAGTTAACCAGTTTCTGACCGGACATGGGCGTTTCCTTTCCCCGGGATACTTCGCTAGGTTTAAGATACAGAACGACGATAAATGTAAACTATGTGCGATCTGTTTGGTGATGCTAAACATTTTTCCTCGAGGTCTGTCCCTACTTTTTGATGGCTTAAGAAACAATAAAAATATTGATTTTGAAAATCCCTTTTTATGCTATAAAGATTTCGCTCAATTATGTAAATCTGTGATGAAATTTTATTGACGGTGAGCGCCGGGCAGTGGGAATCAGTGTATGATATTTGCATTTTATTGCCATCACTAATTGGTATATTTTAATAATTTGTTGTTACCATTGTTTGTGTTTGTTATTCGCTTTTTTTTGTTTTTGTCTTTAGTGTCTGCT